AATTTTAAGTATGCTATGGGATAAGCCAGAAACAAGGAGACGTAATTCTCCATACCATATTTCATCAAGTCTAAGACACACATTTTTCACATCTAAGCATCTTTAGCATTTGGATGTATAATAAGCACTGCGAGTACTCTTGGATTCCTCTTCTACGTTCATGCACCATAGCTCCCTGTGCTTTCACTCTCAACACTCACCACCTGCACCTCTTTGTTGGAGGGCTGTCCTTAGGCTATAAGAACAGGCTTTGACTGCATTACAGGCTGTAAGCACCTGGAAATTTACACCTACCCTCACCCCCATTCAATGATTGTGCAGAGGTATAAATATTCCTGGTTCTCTGGCCTCTCACTTGAACCTACTGTAGAACCTTTTTGTTTCTAAGGCTCCTCTGTGGGAGTGAACCAAAGTCGTCTCCAGAATGGGCTTTGCTTGACATCACACTGTTTGTGGGTTTCTTTTCCCCTTTCCCTTTGGGTTGATCTTATTTCTCTATTTCCCTACTACTTTTCACCCTTGGACCACTTCCTAATTCACATAAATCCTCATGTCACAGGAATTAAACATATTACAGGAAGCAACTTACTATAAATGATGTCTTGCAGTTGCTGTCGCCCAGGCAGTCATAGTGATATGGTTGTCTTTGCCTGTGCATGCATGAATTTGGTTGTTCTTTCCATGGTATGACTAGACTGTTACTCCTTTACTTTTTGGTCAATAAACCATTTAAGGACTATAAATGAAGGAATATAAATCCTGATAGTTATCTAAAATTCTTCTATTAAGTCCTTTTGATAAGATTTAAAAAAAAGTGCCAGCATCAGCATTGTAGAATGAATGTCTAAGACAGGGGAAAATATCTGAGACCACAGTAGAATATTCCTTTAAGAAATGCTGTTCATCTTGATGGCAGAGAGGGTGTTATTGTGAAAAAATGTGGTTTATGACAACTCTGATTCAAAAAAGAGATGCAGAAGAGTTCAATTCTGAATGTACAGAAGCTTTGTTAATATCATAATCTATTTATATTTCATTTTCTTTTACACACATGATTTAAAAAAAATCTATGCTGAAATAGTTCCCTTGGATTTACTTGAAGGGCTCTAAGATAAAAATCTAAGTATTAAGCCATATTTTAAATCTTTTTAAAAATTTTTAAAATAATGATGAATCTTATAACTGATGAAATACTAATTGGTAATATGGTACTTATAGAGACAGAAGAAATATAATCGATGAACAGTAAAACTGAGGTAACATCATAGACTTCCCACTTTCTATTTGTAGTGACTTCTACTGGTAAGTGAGGAACCACCAGTGTTTGGCCATATTCTTGAAATTGTGTAGGCTTTATTAAATATTTCTTATTCCTCCAATGTGTGTGTGTGTGGTGTGTATATACATACAAATATATATATATGCACACATATATATATACACACACACATATATACTAAATGTATGTTTGTATATGTATGCATTCTGTTTCCTTCAGATTTTCCTTATATTGAATACTTTCATTATTCAGAGAAGTAATCCATGCATTTAATTTGGTGTCAGCTTTTCATTTTTGTGTGGTAATCACCAAACAAAAATAAAAGCTGGCATTAGATTAAATACATGGATTACTTCTCTGAATGATAAAACTGCCTAAAGAAATAGGATCTTCTCATAAACATCTTTTCATATTCCATTCCCTAGAAATTTCTAATTTTACTGGTCTATATTACCTATTCCTATAAGGTCACTTCATTATCTACTCAATTTGTTTTGTTTTCCTGTTTTCTATTCTCAGATGTGCTGATGAAATACGAATTTCTTCACTGTGAAACAGAACAGTCAAGCAATTCCAGTGGGGTTAGTTTTAGATGAGATAATTTCTGCAATTTCAGAGTACTGTGGAAACACATAGCTCTCTTGTGCCAAATCAATTCTTCAGTAACATGATTAATTAACCCATAAGAACAGAAGTTTGCTGCTGCTCTGCAATGCACTAACCTTGTGTTTTCATTTCAGGCTTTATCTACCCTTCTATACCAAAATCAATCTGTGGTATTGCTTTAAAACCTTGGGCAAATCAACAATGTGTGAGTATGTGCTTTACAATCCTTTTACTGCAATCATACTGTGAGTTTTATGGCCAAACTTAAGTAGCATACACTTCCTTCTTCAGCAAAATCCATTATATTGTTCCCACATTAGTGGAACTAGTTAGTACAGACATGCTTACTTAAACCCTCACCTCATTTTCTTTTTAATTCAATTTTTGTTTCCCTGCCAGAAATAGGAAACAGCTAAAATAGACTTTTTTTTTTAAAAAAGTGACATTTTAAATTTATTCTGTAAACATTTATTAAATTTTACTGTGCTATGTCCTGTGTGAGGAATAAAAAATAATATATGGACTGGGAGTCAATAATAAAGGACTCACAGTTTACTAGGAGAGATGATACATGCCCTACTTTCCTATCCAAATTAATTACAAATATAGTGTGATAGATACTTTGTTAAAAGGTATTCAGCAATAGGCAACTGGAATAGGATTTCAGAGTCCAGGATTTTAAAATAAAATACCCCATAGCAACAACACATAAACAACAGACCACCCTGGCCAGTTTTCTGTTTTCCCATTTCCTTCCCACTTCCACCTGATTTATTCACTTGGCTACTGATGTTGAGTGGAACAGCCACAGTGAGAGAGACTAGCTGGCTTTAACCGGAGTTCCAGAGTTCATTACCACATGGGGTAAGAGAAGGTAGGACCAGAATTTAAGCCTCTAAGACTCAATAACCCAGCTCAGTAGATAAAAGTATATTAGTAAATATAGTAACCAAATGAGTGTCTGGACAAACAGGCCAGCAGCTCTCTTGAGGTGGAAGTTCTTGCTCCACCGTTCCTGAAATGGAAGACGGGCTGGGTATGTGTATAAAAATGCAGGAATGGCATCCATAGAGTGCCAGCCCTGGACATGGGGAAGGCAGCATGTATCAAGGAGGTCTTCAAAGAAGAGGTAAAAGGAGAGCAGAGTCTATATATGAGAAAAAATCTGATGTGGGAATGGGGCAGGAGAAGCTTCCTAGACAGAGAACAGTATATCTGACCAACTGTTGGGGATAAGAAATTATGCTAGAGAGAAAGCCAGGGGCTCAAACAATAGAAGGTGCTAGGGAACTACTGAAGACTAACAAAAGAGCAATAGAAGCAATTTTTGTGTTAAGAAAATTCTAACAGAAATGTGATGGGTAGATTGATGGGGACAGGTGCGGTGGAGAAGGAAGAAGCTATATTACCTATGTTGAAATCATCCAGGTAAGAAATGAGAAAGACTTGAAAAATAAATAGGCTGTGTTTGCATGAAACAGAGAAAAGAGAATATATTTAAGAAATGTTCTATAATGCACTCCTTTTTTTAATTCTAAACTCACAAATTAGGTAAATCACTGCTTAGGGAAGAAGCAGAGGCAGGCCAAAAGTGTTACTTTAAAGGAGCACTCTCTACACAGAAACACCAGGAATAGGGAATAAATGATCCTGAGAAATACTAATCTTGCAGTTCTTTCCTTTCCTTGGGGTAACTGCTAAACTCTGTGGGCTGTCTTAGTCCATTTAGGAGCTGCTATAACAAAATACTTATACTGGGTAATTTATAAACAATATAAATGTATTGTTCACAGTTCTGGAGGCTGTAAAGTGCAAGATCAATGTACCAGCAGATTTAGATTCTAGAGGGCTTTCTCTCTGCTTCAGTGTTTGGTGACTTCGTGCTATATCCTCACAAAGCAGAAGGAGCAAACCGGTTCCCTCAAGCCTCTTTCATAAGGGTACTAATCCCATTCACCAGGATGGAGCCTCATGACCTAAGTCACCTCCCTAGAGCCTTACCTCTTAATACTTGTACCTTTGGGGTTAGGTGTCAATATATGAATTTAGGGGCTGGGCATAAACATTCAGACCACAGCAGAGGCTTACCTAGTGCTAAGGCACCCTGAGTTGGGATGGTCTAATGTTATTGTCCAAATTGATTTCCATTGAGAGAACATGTGGATTGAATGGAAAAAAATCCTCATTCAGGTCCAGCAGGTCTTCCTGCTACTCATGTGATCCTTTTGGATTCACAGAAATCAATCTAATCCTCCAATGTGGACCACACTGGGCTGAAGGAAGCTCACTGGAGTTGTCCAAGGTCCCACTGCCTAAACACACCACATAATCATTTTCATTCTAGGGGACAAATCTAACTGAGGTTTTGCTGCTCCCTGGAACTCGGTCCAGAAGGTTAAGCACAGATTCCTTTCTCTGAGCCCTACCAACATTTTTGTTCTTTTGTCTCCTCCCCACAGCCAGGGGAATTATTTCCTAGACAGTGTGTAAGAAAGCCTCATCTTCCTCATTATATGTGCTTTCAAATCTTTGATCTAAATAATAAATCCTTTCCAGTTCCCTAAGGAGCTAGATTTTTGAAATTCAAAAGAACATGCTTTCCTCTGCTTTCTGATATCACACCCTTTCTTAACTTAATGAACATTAAACTGCCCAGTAGTTCAAATATCTGATAAAGAATGGGAAGAAGAAAAGGAAATGAAAAAAGCTTTGGTTAATTTCACTTATATATCCTTTGCATAGAATACGAATTACACAAGGGCTAGAAACACATATATCTCACATTGTATCCCTACTACTTAGTGAAGTGTATCTAGTAGCATGTGGTAGCTCTCGGTAAGTGTTAAGTGAGTAAATGAATACAAGAAGACAGAATCCCTGTCTTCACGAGAATGACTACTTCCAATATTGAGGAAGACAACAAACAAAACAAGATTAGGGCAAACTGATAAATAATGTGAAAGAACTAAAGAGGGTAGAGTGATACAGAGAATAATTGGGTGATGGGGGAATGGAATGAGGGACAGAACTACTGATCTGATTGCCCTTTCCCTCCGACCAACCCAATCTCCAAAAGTAAAAACCGAACTTTTGAAAAAAGTAGACAGAAATAGTATAAGTTTAAATGTAAAAAGTCATATGGAGAAAGCAAATACAGAATTGCAGTTAATATTTACAAAATCATTATGCAGGCACAATATTACATGCAGATAGTTGTAGTTAAAACACCTTGAGTATTTCATTTCTAAAGTAAAGCTCCATAGGCATTCTGTTTAAAGTTCTTTTCATCTTCTCAAAAGTTACATGCAATAGAGTGGGCAAGTTGTTTTAATGATAGTTCAGTTCTTTATGTACATTGTAAAAATGTCAAGCATGTTGATTCTTCAAAAAGTTGCATTTCACTTAGCAGAGAAAATAAAAATGTTCCATTTCTCCCTAGAAAAAGGATAACATTTTCTAATTGTGCAAGCACTTTATGAAAGTATCATTTGACTCTATATTTTGACAGCTGCTTTGCATTTATTATTGGAGAGGCTCCTCTTGTGGCATGTTTCTTTTTTTTTCTTTTCTAGTCAAGAGGTGTTAATATTATTTTGGAATTATTCAAGTTTAAGAGAGTGATAAAGGGTCACTCTTCAGGGGTTCTTAATAAACAACCCCCTAACTTCTTACCCCTTTAAAAGGTTTTTGAGGAAAAAAAAAGAAAAGACAGTTTTAGACTATGAGCTCCTTGTTTTGAGAATCAGTACCATTTAGCCTCATACAATACAACTTTCACATTTTGCCTGGCATTTAGTAGGTGGTCAGGAAGTGTTTGCTGAGTTGAACTGGTTTTGGAAAAGGCAAGGGATTACTATCCTCATTAATCAGATAGGGAAACTGAGGTCCAAGGAAGTCGAAGATGGATTTGTATGTGTTTGATACTTTACTGAAGGTTCTTACCCAATTTAGCTCCTTTATAAATTGGTCCTCCTTTATAAATTGGCCACCATTACATGTAAAGTAGGAAAAGAGTAATGATGTGTTTGACATATAGTGAGGTAGTCACTGCTAGACTTCCCTGTATACAGCAAGCCAGTCTCTGCTGCTGAAGGAAATTTAAAACTTAATGATGAAAAAACTCAGGTTCTTGAACTTGGTAGGAGGAAGGTTATTCTTTCAAGGACAAAAAACCCCCCAGCAAATCTATAGCAACCTTTGGACTAAAAAAAGTCTTATCATACCTAGAAAAAAAGGCTCATATACACTATTGGTGGTAATGCAAGTTGGTCCTACTTTTATGGAGGAGAATTTATGAATATCTACCACAATTAAAATGAATGTAACTTTGACCTAGCTTTGATCAAGAAATTTATGAATGTATTCACACTATATACATACTAGCACAAGAGTGCAAAGATGGAAGAGGATTTAATGAATATATAAATGTTCACTGTGACACTGTCAGTAAGAAGAACACTTAAAACATTTTAGTGTTCAACAAATTGCTGGCCACACAAATTATGAGTTGTGTGGGTAGTGATATTTTATGTAGACATTTGAAATAAAACATTAATCTATGTATTGACATGAAAAGATGACAACATAACAAATCAAAAGCAAGCTGCTTAACTGTGTGATTTCCTTTGAATAAAATAACTCACCACAGTATTAGTGACTGCTACCTCCAGAAGGTAAGATGGGCTATCTCTTACTTCATTCAATTCCATAGTACTTGATTTTTTTTTTTCAAAAGAATATGGATTAGTTTTAAAATTCAGCTGGGCTAGGTGGCTCAAGCCTGTAATCCCAGCACTTTGGGAGGCTGAGTGGGGTGGATCACAAGGTCAGGGGTTCAAGACGAGCCTGGCCAACATGGTGAAACCCTGCCTCTACTTAAAAATGCAAAAAAATTAGCTGGGCATGGTGGCATGCACCTGTAATATCAGCTACTTCGGAGGCTGAGGCAGGAGAATTGCTTGAACCCGGGAGGCGGAGGTTGCAGTCAGCTGACAGTGCGCCATCGCACTCCAGCCTGAGTGACAGAGTGAGGCTCTGTCAAAAAAAAAAAAAAAAAAAAAAATCAAAAATTAAGAAGAGGCTGTTTAATTCTGGCCACACAAAAACTTTGTTGTTTTTTTTTAAATCAAGAGTAAGTGGAACTCAGGAAATGATTAGCAATGGTTCTACTTCACCACAGTGCCTAGCACGGTGCTTGTCACATTGTTGGTGCTCAATAAATATTTTGAGGGAATGAGTAAGGATGACTAAATTTGGGCACACTAGTAAAGTGAGATGGAAGGACATAAGAGCATTCAGATTTTCTAACCCTAAAATCCAAGCCAGTGAGTCAATGAAGACTTTATGATGACCATGCTGCTACGGTTGATTGATGTTAAAGAAAGATTGGCTACTCGCCAAAACATAATTTGAGGGTCTTAGCATTAGAAAAAGATTCTTGCTAAGCCCCAAACATGGTTCTTTTTTGAACATCTCTTATGGCATCTACCTGTTGGTGTAGAGGTCACAGAAGCATTATGAAGAGGGAATCTGAGAGTGGCCAACTGGTCAGTCTATTCACACACTGAACCTCCTCAGCAATATCCCCCAAATAACAAATTTAGATTGACTAAAACCAGTGCTTCCATTTTCTCCTGGGAATTCTTTCCTTATCAGCTTTAACTACTAGAAAGTTCCTTATGGCACTGAAATAGAACCTGCCTTTGTATAAACTGAACCCACGGACAATAAATCTAAGCAGCTCTGCATAGTGGTTTAGAGAACAGGTTCTGGACTCACAGATCTGCCTTGAACCCTAGCTTCTACATGTAGGTGCTTTGTGACCCTTCAGCAAAGATTGCTCACTCTCTAAACCTAAGTTTATTCTTTTAGAAATGGGAATAATTACAGTTTCTATTTTATGGAATGGTTTTAAGAAGATCATAAATAAATATGTGCAAACTGCTCATCACAATGTACGGCACAAAATACTCAATAAATAATATCATTATAATTGTTCAGGCCTTTTTCACTAGGAATTTGACAGAAACAGGGAGGCATATGGTACAAAATAGCAGTGAAAAGATGAGGTGTCTCTGTCGGTGGGCTGGTGCCTGAGTACTCTGATTTCAAGTGACTCAAACACCTCCTTTGTTTTGCTCACTAGAAACAAATTAGAAAATTCTCCAAGCAGGTGGAGAAAAATTTCATACGATTAATTTGACAACAAAAGTTTGCACATTCACAATTATAGACACTACTATATAGCATACCTCATTCACCTCTGGTGGAGTGGGTGTGGGTGGGGGGTGAGGGGAGTGGGCAGGGGGTGGTGGTGCAAAGAAATAGTTCCTTCTTGGGCTTCTCTCGAAACTTTTCTCCCTTAAGCTTCCTAATGTTCAAATGGCTATCAGGCAAAACACAAGTCTTCTCTAGCCATCCTGAAACATTTTTCATGGCTAATGACTACATATCAGTCTGAAGTTGACTTTATATTATTACTCAAGACATAAATAATAAATCCTAAGTGTATTCAGGAAAGGATAGTTGAGCACAATGTATATATATCTTTACCACATAAGTCTGTATTATATACCATATGAAATTCAGTAGACTAGGAGATTTAGGATCTCAATTTACTCATCTATAAAATGCTTACAATGGATGGTTCTTACACTATGTTCTAAGGAGTTCTGGGACTGCACAGCAGTGCTGGGTGCTGCTTGACTTGGGCTTTAGGCTTCCATCTTGTTTCAAGTAGAGCAGCAATGTTTTAAAAGATAACTCTCTTCTCATTAGCTCCCCTCAAACCATTGCTCTGGGAAGGGCAACCTAAGCAGGGCAAACCACGTCCTCCACTTTAGGAAAACATGAGCTGCTGAAAGAAGCCTGTTGAAACAGTATCACATTGCAGCTTGCCTACTTGCTGGGGGCTTGGGTGCTGAGAAGGGGGAAAGGTTTATAAGAGAAGAATAGTAAGGTTATAGAGGGGCCATGTTTGACTGAAGAGATGCCTTCTGAATCTCTGTGGAATGCACACCTGTGGAGCCAGCTGCATCAACACAATCACAGTGCCCTGCATGATGGGCTGTGACCTCCCTCTGTGGGGACAGCAGGCTGTTGGGGGAAGGGGATTGGATGTGGTATCAGAAGACTTAGGAGTGAGTCTCAGGGCTCGGAGAGGGAGCTTCCTCCCTCTGAACTGCTACTTCCCTACTGAAAAACAAGAATAAACATACCCACCAGATCAGCCTCACAGGCATGTTGTATGGTTTTAAAAAATGAGGTCTGCAAAGCATTTTTTAAATTAGAAAGCTCAATAAAGATATAAGCTGTATTCGTTAGTGCATCAAATGTCTAAATGTGATCCTCAAATTCCAAAAATCCTGCTAAGATCACTTTCCTAATATATGAATATAAAAGGTTAATTATCAAATTAATGAGGTGTTTCATTATGTTCATATACTTTTTCAATATGTCAAGACCTTATGAAGAACTACATATGAAATTACAAAGAAAGATCTAATTATATATGAAAAAGTATACATATTATAGAGTCTAATTATGTGATTTCAAAAATATGACTAGATTATTCTCAAAGAACTACTGCAGTGACAATTGATTTTTTTAAATGTATAAAGAAATATCAAAAGTTTTACAAAAATATACAAAGTCCAGAGTCTCTATTTTATCCTTCAACAAGTAGTGTATGCTTCACTCCTATTTTAGACTGTTGTATCTCAGGATTGGATGTTATGTGTCTCTGCTCATGTCGTCCATGTAGACTGAGATGCCAGATGACCATGGAACTCCACTTCCTAAGGAAAACCATCAACTTTTCTGGTTGGGGAGTTCTCTAGAGCAATCCTCTTCATTCTCCTCTGAGCGAGACAGATTCAGGACACTCATCACAGGATGGATCCAGGATGTAGTCTGTGTTACGTGACTTGAGAAGAACAAGAATGCAATTAGAATCCGAAAGACTGGCTTTTTACTCATCCATGCAATTACTGATCCTGGTGATATTGCTTCTACCCTAGTAAAGTCCCTGTGATAGGAAGCAGTTAGAAGTAGATACAATAGTTTTAATAAGTCTTAGGCACACTTTAAGGTTCAACAGAAGCCATTTCTTTCTTTCTTCTTTGGTTAAAAACGAATGCAGGTGAATGCAGCATCTCTAATGCCTCTCCTTTCAGTGTCTGACATTCAGTCAGTCAGCAAGTCCAATGACTGCCTTGCTGTAACATCTCTGGAATCTGTTTCTTGTTCTCCTTTTTCACTGAAATAGGCTGGGTCACTGAAATAGTTTGCCTCTCTGCCTCTGCTTTAGTTCTTTTCTAATTCATTCTCTACGCCAGCCAAAGAACTTTCTAAATGACAAATTATACACTGTTACTCACTTGCTAAACATTCAATGCCTTCTGGATCAAATACATACTTTACTATGAAGTACTTTGGTTTTTTTAGTTGCCTCAACATACCTTTTTTTTTTTTTTTAAGACAGAGTCCTGCTCTGTCACCTAAACTGGAGTACAGTGGCATGCTCTCAGCTCACTGTAACCTCTATCCCCTGGGGTTCAAGCAATTCTTGTGCCTCAGCCTACCAAGTAGCTAGGACTAAAGGTGTGCATCACCACACTCGGCTAATTTTTTGTATTTTTAGTAGAGATGGGTTTTTGCCATGTTGGCCAGGCTGCTCTGGAAAGCCTGGCCTTAAGTTATCCACCCACCTCAACCTCCCAAAGTGCTGGGATTACAGGGATAAGCCACTGCACTCGGCCAACAATATTTTCTTCTTTCCCATAATCCTTTCCCATGAGAAGTTAATTCATTAATTCTAAAAAACCAAATATCCCTTAAGAATCTTCAAATCTGTGCCCATAGTCTTATCTCTTATTACATTAAATTATAAATGCTCATTTGCTTTTAGGCCTTCCTACTACATATGAAGCTCCTTAGGGCAGAACTGTGTTTCTTATCTCTGAATTTATGGGGCCTAACATATTCTCAGAACAAATGACCAGCATCCTGAAAAAGTGTTTCAGGGAAATAACACAAGCAGAGATGAGAAAAGAAGTAAAAAAGATATTGGGTATGTCTAGAAAGTGGTGACACATCACAAAATCCTGCCTTTAACCTGGTGATGGTATTTCTTACACCTAGCGTCCTACTCCCAGCCTTTGGCTGAATGAATCTCCTAAATCCACCACCACCTTCCCAATTCCTGAGTGCACAAATTAGGACAAGGACTGGTTTTTCCTCCTTGGACACTCTTTCTAGCCCTGGTTTGCCCCACTCCTTCATCAATACTAGATCAGTTTCCCTAGCCTTCATCCTACCCAAACTCAACCTCAGAAGCAGCATCATGTCTTAGATCAAGTGCATTTGAAGGCCAGTACTTACAAAGATGACTTCAGATTGTGAATCTGAAAGTACCTCCATATTATAAAGTAACAATTTCCGAAATACGTTACCAAGTGTTTTAAATAAATGTTACTTGAAGAATAGCCTGGCATAGTGGCTCATGCCTATAATCCCAGTGACTGACTTGGGAGGCTGATATGGGAGGACTGCTTGAACTCCAGAAGTTTGAGGCTGCAGTGAGGTATGATACACTACACTCCATCCTCCAACCTGGGTTACAGAACAAGACCCTGTCTCAGTCAATCAATCAATCAACCAATCAGTTAATCAATGTTATGTGAACATATAATTCTATGGTCAAATAGTTTGACAAAATTGAAAAGGTTTCTTTACTACAGGATTTCCCAGAGAACTTTAATATGCTAATTGTGCTATATGAGTCTCCAAGACTATGTAATATTACTCAAAGTAACATATCTCTGTTGACAAACACAGGGCTAATCTTCCATTGAACACAAGTTGGCAACTATCACAAAAATGCATTCACTTTATTTGCCACTGATTATAATACTGAAAATGTTAGATAGTATAAATGGTAAGTTCCACTGTTATTATTGGTTTGGTTTGTTTTCAATCCTATATATATATTTTGTTCATCCCCCATACACAAATTGTTCAGCTCCTCTGTTTAAATATTAAAAGTGTATCTTTTCATGAAAGAAGATTACTAGTGGTTTTATGATGGCATAAAAAGGGTTCAAGTTCTTTAAGAATCAAGGTGAAAGTAATAAGGCCCAGGCATCTTCACAGTTTCAAAAGCTCAGAGTGTGGTTTAGTGTACAAAGAATCATTATTCTCTTGACAATAATCCACATTACTAATATCTCTTTAAAATGGTTTAATGGAATTTCTTATTATGGAGGCCAAATTTACTAAAGCATTTGATTCAGCACAGGTTAACTTCATTTCAAGGCCTTTATAAAGCTGGAAAGCTGCCTAACTTGAAAGTGGTTTTAAAGAAATACTAATGAGTGTAACATGAGAGGGCTGGAATGCCACTGCAAGGTGAAATGAGGACACATCGCTGGGTACGAACTACCTGTTTAAAACTAAAAGGAAAAAGCTTGGTGAGACAGCTTTGCTTATTTTAAAATATTGGTATATATATTAATACCTTAATGTTTATCAGCAAATTTATAATATATTAGCCCAAAGAAGAGACTATAATTTAAATCATTTTAATTCCTCTCTCTCCATAGTATAAAGTTCTATAGTATGGGAAGGAGGAAAAACAGGAGCAATTACCTAAGGGTAAGTAAGTCCAGCTTTGCTATTTGACTTTTTATAAATAATATTCTCTTGCTTGAAATATTACATCTGTCCATATATGAACATTCCATTAAATTGCTAATTTAAAATAATCAAAAGGAAAATGTATAAGAAAAAAATGTAGTTACAGACTCTGAATGGTGAATATCATAAAGTTCTACCAGATGGTCATCCTTGCCAGTAACCTTCATTAAGCACTTTTAAAGCAATAAATCAACATCTGATCTACTCCAAATATAAAAGTAACATCATAAAATTTGATTAACCTTATAACTTGATTAATCTTGTCTTCACAATATGCTTTTTTGAACATGACTAAAAACACACATGCACACACCTAAGCATCAAATATGCAGTTACTACAACAGGTACTTACTAGAAGAAATACGCTAAAGTAACAGAGATATGTTCTGTGCTTCAAACACACATTTCAGACCTGGGTCTTTGTTAAAAATGTCCAGAACCAATGGGACACAATGCTTGTGAAACTCAAGTAATGCATGTAAAGTGCCCGGCAGAGAGGAGATATACAATAAATAATCATAGCTGGTTTTATTGATAATTAGGGATTTCTGATTATTGTAAGAAAAATTTGGAATTCTTCCTATGATGCTAGAAGAGGGCCATTTGTGTGTATACCATTCAATTTTATGTCCTAGTGAGCACTGTGGCTAAAGAGCTTTGACATAATCGGTATGATGAGATAATCCCAGATTTACTGGCTTGGAGAACATTCTAGTATTAAAAATATTTCCTCTGTGATTTGTGTGCTTGGTAATTCAGCTGATAAGAGAGAGAATAAGTCAGCCCTGTTGACTCTGTTTAATTAATAAAGATCCCATGGTTCTAAAGGGAGATGTTGCTACTTAGTATAAAAAATTTAGAGGTTTGGAAAATAAATGAAGCTTACTATGAAACATGAAAATTTTCTATTTGAACATACAGTACCTCTGGCAAATGCTTCTGAAGAGACAGTGCATCTGACCTGATTTGGAGAGCAGTCAAAAGCACTTCAGACATATTTAAAAATCTAAAAAGCATAATACTATTTGCCTCTGAATGGTTGCCAAATCTGTTGTTGGAAAACAATAATAGTTGATTTGGGAAGATAAGAGTATTGTGTGTTTTAAAAAATAATATTAGTAAACTGAAAGACACATTTTAGAGCTTATTAAAAATCCTAAGAGAACATGCTTTATTTTATTGACATAGAAATGTAAGTGAATTATTTAAATCTCATTATAATTACCCTCCTTATGTTTCTTACCTCCTAGCTAAAGGAGCAAAATGTTTTCTTTCAAAATAAAAATTAGGACAACCTGTTAAACATAAAGTGGTTTAAAGATAAAAAGGGCACTGTTCTGTAGAAATTTATTCTTATAACCATCTGTGATGATGAAAGACATTCTTTTGTTAATCTTCCATCATAGATGGCACTATTTATACATCATTGTGAATTTACAGGTACTATTTTATTATGTTTAAGACGAAGCTGTGGAATAAAGAGCCAAAAGTAATTAACTTCCAGTGTCATTTTTGGGGGAGGGGTGATAGTCATATGTATATAGTATTTATATAAACCAGAAAACAAAGACAAATAAGTAACTGGGGTGACAATTATATGTATATAGTATTTACGGAAACCAGAAAACAAAGACAAATAAGTAACTATAGTTTAATATAATTTGTTTCAGGCACCAGTAACTTTGAATCACTGGAAAATTTTACAACTGGCCATAAACTGCAAGTAGTAATGACAATAAAAATTTATATTTAAAAACTAATTCCAATTGAAAACAAATTAGAAGGTAGGAATGCAGATGAACCTTGTCAATAAGATTATTAAAAAATAACCAAACCATGTTAAAGCAGCATATAATCTTATCTAAACACTGGCTATGAGAATAATAATTACAGATTAATAATAGGAAGTATCTATTCTAAAATATGTTTAAGAGAAAATTGCAGGCATTTTGTTCTCACTGGTATATAAGGAGTATCCTTTTATATAACTTTGAAAATATGCCCCTAAAATCAAAATGAATATTTCTCATTAGTGAACTTTGTAAATATCACGGAACACTTTGAGCATTTTGTAATTAGGGATTTGGAAATCCAGTGAGGCTCTGATCAAGTATTAGCAGGATCTCATTCAAATCTTTACAGTCTAGAGGACAAATTTTATTTTATTATAAATTTATGGTAATTTCTATTAAAATCATTTATCTTTTAAAATCTTAAATTCCAATTAAT